GATCTTGCTTAATTCAGATCATGCATGAAATGCAGAATAGCACACACTCAGAATAGGTAACTATGACAAGGAAGAAAGTTCCTTTTTCTTTCTCAGAACTGCTAAGGGAATTGCTGGTACAATATAAAAATTGTGTTTTTATTTTTAGATGTGCCCAGTGAACCCAAAGAACGAGGAGACCTTAATCATGAGCAAGGAGAGCGAAAGGTCTGCAGATTCAAGCTCGAGTGGCTGGGAAATTGCTCTGGATTAAATGACGAAACTTATGGCTACAAAGAGGGCAAACCATGTATTATTATAAAGCTCAACCGAGTTCTCGGCTTCAAACCTAAGGCAAGTAATATTTTAAATGATAAAATTTAGATGAGTCATTCACACTAAGAATTGATCTAAGAAGACAATGTAAGATAGTTTTAAGTATACTCAGTGCTGATTTTGAAACCCAGTCAGTAGAGTAACACCAAAAACTTCTGTATGCAGCCTGCAATTCCTGCAGTTAGGGCATTAATTTACTTTTCTAAAGCTAAAAGAATTCTGCAAGGCAAAGCTAAATTCTGAAGTGAGTCTGTGGCCCTGTTCTTATACTCCTGCTCAGTATCCAGATAACACTTTCTATAACATAAACTCTTTACAAGTAAAAATAGAAAAAGATATTTTTTTCCCTGGTGGTCTAGTGGTTAGACAAAATAAAAAGATGTTTTTTTTTTTCTCCATAAAGAATGGACTATTTTAAAAAATTATTTTTTATTTTTATTTTTTTAACAAAATTCCATAGACATATTTAAAAAAAAAAAAAAAACCACCTGTAGGTACAGTCTTTGGTCCTCTTCAAGCCACAAGAACATTTCAAAAAAAATTGATAATCAGAAAAAATACTTGTTTTTTGAATTTTATTGCAAAAGTAGAAGTTTAACATCATCTAGGCTGAACTTTACTAGCCATGCTATTGGCTTTTGTATTATTGCAACTTATAATGGGAAAACAATACTCTGGATCACTTAGAAATGGCAAATTGCCATTTGGTGAGATTGTATTGATTCTTCATAAGAATGGAAAATGTTATTGGTGGTGTCTGCTTTTGTAAAGCTCTCCTCCAGATCATGAATTAATGCTGTCCTTTTTCCCTTAAGCCTGGCTTCTTCTGATGGGTTTTCCCCAGTCGCCTGTATATGAGCATTGCCATTATGAGTGTTGTTTTTTAATTTTAATAGAAATTGACTGTAATATATTGAGCTATGTGAACAAACTCATTTCATTTCTGAAGTGGCTCTTTTGTTTATTAATTTTCTACTGAATGCTATTAATTTATTTCTACAATACTTGTTACCCATGAATAATAGTTTCAAAAGAAAATCAACATAGAGATAAAAAGTTTTGTTAACTGAAGGATGCATCAGAGCTCCTTTATTGCCACCAGAGGCAAAAATTGAGTAGGTGGGGATGGATGGCTTCCTGGCTGGCTGGGCTGATGGATCGCTGGCAGAAATTAATGTACCTCTCAACAGGATTTTAAGCTTCTTTCCACATAGACAGGATATAATGGAAGATAAACGGCGAGAACCATTATGCCATAATGTATTTGATATTCATATTGCTAGGGAATACTTCACTGACATCAATCAGCTATTTAGCAGCAAAAGGAATTGGTGTGGTGTGGCTGAGAGAAGACTGATCCTATGCTTTCTTGAATACCTTGCTTTTGACATTCCTCATTGTAGACATTGAGTGGCATTTGAACATCACAGAGGCAGTCTAGTCTATTGTGATTCATTTCTTCCTACATCTTTAGAGATAATTGGTTCAGTGATAAATTCAGCTATTCTTTTCAGTCCTTTTTTTCCTTTTTCCTTTGGTCTCTACTTGGTTATCCATTGCCACTGGCTAAATTCATCACCTCCACCCAAATCTCCAACTATTTTGAAATTACTTTTTTTCAGAGATCGTAGTATTCCCAGCATCTCACTGTCCTCACCTTTTGAGGATAGCTTCTGGGGACTTCTTTTATCAGTAAGCATTTTCTCTACATATTTTTAAAGATAAATATATTGCTGGCAGAAGCATCCAAAAGAGTCAAATCTAGATGATCATTTTCTTGCATTCAACACAGAGAAGTACAAAAATAGTAGTTCCTCCCTGATGTCGAACTAATATTTTATCTGACTTTAATTAGACTATGTATGTGTTACACCACACATCAAGACTGACTTGCTGATCTGAGTAAGCAAGTGACTGTCTTCCAGCAATTTATGTTCATCACACTTCTGAGGTAGAGTTGAGCCATGGGTATAGGAGAGGAGGCTCTGGATATTTCACGACAGCAGTAACGTTCAGACTGTACTCTGGGTCCTTTCAGTGAACTTACCCCTTTAAGATAACCCTTCCTCTTAAGGCAGTGACATCTCTTCCTGTTTCACACACTGGACTTTCCTAAGAAAATTGCAAAGAAACACTCCTTAAATGGCAGTCTCCCCCACTGGAGATTAAAACAACAAAAAAGGAAAGCTTACTTGAAGGCATTCTTGAGCGAAAAGGATAGCATTATTTATTCATGACTCAGGAGGAAAGCCCATGCTTTATAAAAACAGAAATGTCAGTCATCTTTCCCATATAATCTAATCTTAGCAAATAAAGAACATTATATTTTGGGTTGGCTTTTAGTTTTCAGTGTCTTTAAGCAAAGCTTATAATGGGCGACTATTAAAAAGTTCCATTTAGTATTGGATTGCATCACAGCTTAATTGTAATGATTCTAAAACTTGGGCACTTATTTTCATTTCAGCAAAATCACAAACATGACCTTAAATTGGTTAGGGGAGTCATTCATTCTGCTATCCTGATGTCTGTTGTTATTTTGTGACCAGTTTGTACTTGTTTGGACTACAGACTAGTTTTATTTTTCAGTAACTTAAGAAATCATTTACAATCTACTGATCATAATGGGTTTCATTTTTAGCCTCCCAAGAATGAGTCCTTGGAGACTTACCCAATGATGAAGTATAACCCATATGTCCTTCCCGTTCAGTGCACTGGCAAGGTAAAGACAAATTTAGGGTTACTGGGGTGGTGGGAGGAAGGACAGGGGAAGAGGGGCAAATGAATGAGACTGTTTAAGTGACAGGTGAAGTTTTAATATAAGAAATAAGAAACATTGCTTTCAAGTATAAGTCTCAGTGACTTGAATTGTAGCTATACTAGGTAAAACTTTTGAAAAGAAAGATGTAATCAGAATAAGACTGATGTCAGTTTCTCCATTGGCATAAGAAACTCAAATATCTGAATTTAATACATTGGAATATTTGCTTACAGAACTGAGACGTGAATTAGCCCACAGAAGTATTTCTTTCTGGCCCACAGCATGTATTAAAAATTTGGGGCCAACATTAAAAAAAAAAATTAATGTCATATAAAATTTGTGTTTTGGGCTTCTCTTTAAAAAATATTGAAAGACTAACCATTAATGCACGTTTCCTTTGGATCTAAAAACTAATGGAGAGTTTAGAGAGAAAGGCAGAACAAAGAAAGGGAGTCCCCAAACAGTGCTAGCCCCAAGAAAGGAAATAGAGATTGATTTCTCAACAAGAAAATGAGAGGCAAATAGTAAACTTTGGAGACAGTATCACTGGGAATATCATCTACTGGGCCAACAGCAAGGTGTTTCTGACTTGCAGTGTTGTTGACCTTGTTTCTAGGAGGCTGTGTTGGTCTAAAGAAATGCTTCCCCATCCATTTGCACATTGAGAATAGTCTCCTCGTATGACCATTTCTCAAGGCTGCAATGGAGTAGACTGAGTTGATGTTCTTTCCTCTCTCAGAAGTTCGCAAACTACTCTGTAGACTGAGTCTTGTTTGTTTTTGAGTACACATAGTGATCTATGATGTGAGCCATTAAAATTCATTTCATTCTGGATTTCAGCGAGATGAAGATAAGGAAAAAATTGGAAATGTGGAGTATTTTGGACTGGGCAACTACCCTGGTTTTCCTCTGCAGTATTATCCATACTATGGCAAACTCCTGCAGCCCAAATACCTGCAGCCCCTGCTGGCCGTACAGTTCACCAACCTTACCATGGACACTGAAATTCGCATAGAGTGTAAGGCGTACGGTGAGAACATTGGGTACAGTGAGAAAGACCGTTTTCAGGGACGTTTTGATGTAAAAATTGAAGTTAAGAGCTGATCACAAGCACAAATCTTTCCCACTAGCCATTTAATAAGTAAAAAAGATACAAAAACCTACTAGTCTTGAACAAACTGTCATACGTATGGGACCTACACTTAATCTATATGCTTTACACTAGCTTTCTGCATTTAATAGGTTAGAATGTAAATTAAAGTGTAGCAATAGCAACAAAATATTTATTCTACTGTAAATGACAAAAGAAAAAGAAAAATTGAGCCTTGGGACGTGCCCATTTTTACTGTAAATTATGATTCCATAACTGACTTGTAGTAAGCAGTGTTTCTGGCCCCTAAGTATTGCTGCCTTGTGTATTTTATTTAGTGTACAGTACTACAGGTGCATACTCTGGTCATTTTTCAAGCCATGTTTTATCGTATCTGTTTTCTACTTTATGTGAGCAAGGTTTGCTGTCCAAGGTGTAAATATTCAACGGGAATAAAACTGGCATGGTACTTTTTTTTTCCTTTTTTTCCTTTTTTTTTTTTTTTTTTTTTTTGGCTCATTCAAAGATAATGGCCCATCAATGAACATTTTTAACATACTCCATAGTCTTTTCCTGTGGTGTTAGGTCTTTATGATTTTTCTTTTTCCTGGGGCTGGGGCGGGGGGTTGTCATGGGGGAACTGCCCTTTAAAATTTAAGTGACACTACAGAAAAACACACAAAGGTGATCGGTTGTGTTGTGCTTGTATTGAATGCTGTCTTGACATCTCTTCCCTTGTCCTCCAGTATGTTCTAAAGCTGTGTCTGAGATCTGGATCTGCCCATCACTTTGGCTAGTGACGGGGCTAATTAATTTGCTTTATACATTTTATTTTACTTTCCTTTTTTCCTTTCTGGAGGCATCACATGCTGGTGCTGTGTCTTTATGAATGTTTTAACCATTTTCATGGTGGAAGAATTTTATATTTATGCAGTTGTACAATTTTATTTTTTTCTGCAAGAAAAAGTGTAATGTATGAAATAAACCAAAGTCACTTGTTTGAAAATAAATCTTTATTTTGAACTTTATAAAAAGCAATGCAGTACCCCATAGACTGGTGTTAAATGTTGTCTACAGTGCAAAATCCATGTTCTAACATATGTAATAATTGCCAGGAGTACAGTGCTCTTGTTGATCTTGTATTCAGTCAGGTTAAAACAATGGACAATAAAAGAATGAACACATTCCTCATGTGTGTGATTCACTCTTGTCTAAATGTCCCAACCTGTGACTTCTTTACTTTCCACACCACTAGTTATCCAAAATCTTGAAGAAGTATTGAACCTGAAAGACAAACACACGATTTCTTTAGCCCAGACAACTTAACAGAGACTAGAGGTTGGTCACAACTCCAGACACTGGAATACCAAGGCACACCCCCTCCCAAAGACACTAAGTTAATCAGAGGCAGAGAATCAGTGAGGCTCCAGTTAAGTTCCATTTTTAAAATATTTTGCAGTGCCACTTCACTCAGTTTAGAAAACATGAAAAGTTGGTTCCTGCTGTTGCTTCACTAGACATGTCTGTTCAAAAGTTACCACTTCAGTTTTTAAGAAATGAGGTTAGGTTTGAGGTTCAGTGAATTAAGAAGGTTCAGACCTTGCTTTTTGATTCAGGGATTGGCCTAAGTTCTTACTTAGCTGTATTTAAAAATTAGCCATAGTGTGAAAGAAGATAAAAATCAGCTTTCCAAAAAACATTTTCCAGGTATAATTAATTGAAGATTTAGTATCACTTGACCAACATGAGAAATACCCATACTAAAATCAGAACATAGCATTTCTGAAATGGAAACCTTTCACAAAGCTGTGCATTCAGAGCCCAGACACATCCTTGATGTGGCACTGCTGCCTTCTTATAGAGACAGTCTCAGAGGCCATGGCACTTTTGGTGAGAAATACCAGAAACAGCTTCAGTTCCCACCTGTTGCTCCATATTTATAATCACACTAATCTATTTCTCTCATTTTGCTATTTCTAGAGCAACAAATTGTGTGACATTAGTACCAGAGGAACAATGACTCAACTTAACCAAAAAAATAGCAAGGGAACTATGAAAAATGGCATAACTGCTTAACTTTAATAGTTGAAGTCTTTAGGAGATTTCAATAGTTGAAGTGACAGAAAAATCCTCAAACTAACATAATTACATGAAACTGGGTTTCTCAAAAAGTAACCCACATTTATGGAAATAGAAGGCTGTCTTGCAGAAACGTCAGCTCATTTTGTAGTATGTGAGTCATAAATTTGTGATGCTTGTGAATAAGAAGGGGAAGGGGGCTTTAGGTCTGAGGAAAGAGGAGCATTCATTCAAATTGGAGGGTAGTTTGCATTTTTAAGGCTGCCGTAAGGTCATGATCTTGGTGACCCACTTAACCTGTTTTCATATGTAATGTGTACCTTCTGTTCTAAGCCACTGTGTGTGTCTGCCTGTTAACTTTCTCCAAGATTCTCTCCAAATTTTGCCTCTCTTTATTTCTCTAGATTGTGTCAATCTGTTTCCCACCCCTGATCTTTACCGCTGTATCACCACTAGGAGACTGGGGAATGTGGTTTGTGTTCTTAGACTCAGCAGACCCCTACCATATACCAAGTAGTCTTCTAACAGCTAGGGATAGATCCATCAGTGAACAAAACAGACAGAACTCCATCTTCTTTCCTCTGCTGCTCATGTTCTAGTATTAAGTACTTGCATATTTCTCACACTCTTCAGTACATTTATTCTTTTTAATCAGTTTATCCTGACCCTTAGTAGATGACATATTTCTTGGGTGTAGGGACAGTGTCACCTGTCTCCCTTGGGGTGTTCTTACATCCAAGAAAAGGGTTTTCACACAAGTCCCATCAAATACTTAATTCCTTACACAGAATGTGAAGGGATTGAGTTTTTTCAAAGGTAGGCTGACGACTGCTTGGAATGAAAAGCATTTAAATAGTTACTGAAGAGAGAAAAAGGATTCTCTTCAACCCTTCATATTCTTGGAAGGAAAAAAACACGGAGTTAGTATGTCCTCAACCCTGGTTAATTTCCCTTGCAAATAAAAGGGGACAGGCCTTGGGCTCAGAAGCTTTGCCATGAGATATTACCTAGCTAGGATTTTTTTAAACTTGCTTTCATTGTATTTATTTTATTACCTTCAATTAAGGATAAGTAGTAAAACAAGTAGTTTAAATCAAAGTAATTTAAAACAAGTAGTTTTCCATTCATGGCAGTAAAATAAATTTGTTCAAATATAGCATTGAATGAATTTAAAGAAAAATAGTAAAATTTCAGGTGGTAAATATGATAAAAAGCATGCAAGTGATAAATGGTTGACTAAAATTTAAGACTCTGCTTGAATGCTTAAAAGTATAGCATTGGCCAGGCACAGTGGCTCATGCCTGTAATCCTGGCACTTTTGAGAGACCGAGGCTGGAGATCACTTGAGCCCAGGAGTTCAAGATCACCCTAGACAACATAAGGAGACCATATCTCTGCAAAAAAAACTAGCCAGACATGGTGGTGCACACCTGTGATCTCAGGTACTTGGAGGTCTGAGGTGGGAGGACAGCTTGAGCCCAGGAGGTTCAAGGCTTCGGTAAGCCTGGATAACAGAGTGAGACCTGTCTTGAAAAAAACAAACAAAAAACTAACCAAAAACAGCATTACCAGAACCTATCTACTTTGGAACAACAGCATGCCCTGTCTGCTCCAGCTGTACCTAATAGCAGAGGGAACGGTTCTAACTCCAAATTAAAAATGTTAGCAGTGATGAGAAACAAAAGTTCAGTTATCAGAATCTTTCAAAGCTCAGTAATAGCTTCAACTCCTAGCTTCTTAAAGGATTAGTAACACTTTGATATCTGAGTATATTTGGCTCACAGAGAACCAAATGACCTTACCTTGAAAATCTAGGACTAAGGGACCTTATGAATACAGAGGGAAACTAGCCAAGGAACAGTCAAGAGCAGTCTTAATTGAGTGAGTAAAGTGATCTTGGTTTCAAATTCAACTTAGAAAACATGACTTTCTCTTTTCTTCTTTCAGAGGGGGCTAGTGTTAACCAGACATGTTATCTGTAGTCCTCTGGGCTCTACATTGAGAAGGTTGATCAAGAAATAGATAAGCCTGTTATTCTTCCAACTGATGGTTCCAATTAGCACCCATATCCTACTCATGTGAAACAAAGAGGGTGGAAACAAGGCGGGAATCTTGGTTTATGCTTTAATTCTCTATTTTTCTCCAAGGGACTTTCAGCATCAGTCCCTTCTGAGGGATTAAGTATCTTACTAAGGTGTTGACTCTTACTGACTACAGAATCCAACTTTTTCATTTAGTCACAGAGGGAACCTATACCCTAAGAGAATGCCCATATTGTAATAAAACTGTAACACACTATCTGTAGCTAGCTTTATCACAAAGCCTTTAAAAAACTTGGATTTTATAAAATCAGGAGTCTCATAGGCGGCCTGTAAGGGCTGTCTTTTCCACAGAAACACATATATTTCCTCTTAGTGTTGACCCTATACAGCCCAGGTAGGAGGTGACACAGGTTAATTTAAAACTCACATATTCAGCCAGCCGCAGTGCCTGAAATAGCCATTACTGGGTATGTCTTTTGGTGTGTTTCAAGGATCAACTATTACATTCCTGTGAATGAAACATTACCTATGAAAGGTGGCCGTTTTGTGCCCATAACTTGTTATAAGAATTCAATGTTACTTAAGTAAAGGAGGAGTATGGAACAGTCTTGCAGGAATAGAACATAGGATTCATTCCCTTTGATAAGGAGCAGGGGTTCTGAAATAACCAGCAGGTAAAGATTAGGTCTTGGGGAGGTTCTGCTGAGTCTGCATTGAAGCCTCTAGACAGCAAGAGAATAGTATAATAGTATAATACAACTCAGGTTGTACTGCAGAAAAATGAAACATAATAGATGGAGAAGTCCAAGCCTACCATAAACCTTTGAAACCTTTGCCAAAAGCAGGCCTTTCTTTTCTTTCATTTGCAAATTTCCTCTGCGACACCTACTATGTACCCAGCACAGAATTATGAACTGGTAGGGTGGGGTGGGGGTGGGGGGCCAGGGGAGAGTGTCCAAACACACAAGGTCCTTATGAAATTTTTGCTTTTGTACTTCTAAACGTCTTACATGGTCTAAACTATTCTCATTGATACAACTCCTTCCCCTCCTTCTGCCATTCATTTAACATCTTCAACACAACCAACGGATAATGACACTTGACTACCTATAAGATTAATTTGAAGGCTTGTTCTGTCCTTATCACTATCAGTAATTTACATTTATTTACTATTTTATAGTGCATAGTCTAATTTCATACATAAATCTCATTTCCTTACCAATAGCTTTGTGAAGCTTGTTATATTCTTTAATTTGTGTATCAGACACTTTAGAGGTGGAATGGAGGCATCTATTTTCCAGTAGTTTTTAATGTTGATTATCAGAAATGCCTGTGGAGTTATATTTTGTTTTAAATAAACAGTACAGATGTGCTTGAACACTTAGAGAATCTATCCCACTGTTGCAGAGTTCCAGCACCGAAGTAAAATATGTGTGCCGGTTATTATACTAGATTTTCAGAGAAAATCTAGTCAGTTCGATTGAAATGCAATTTTGTTAGTGTTCCAATAATGTGATATTGAGTTTTAAATATATCAGTGTATTTAGATGACCAACCTTCAACTCACTTGGGCCTCTTACAGCCAAGACTGGCTTCATGGGCCTGCAGCCTGTGCATGGGGCCACATGCCTAGAAGAGCCCTGTGCTTGGTTTAATGCTCTGCTGTTGCTGTCTTGAAATTCTTAATGATTTTGAAAAAAGGGCCCGACATTTTTATTCTGCACCAGTTCTGCTTATAGCCAAGGGCCTCTACACTAGGGTTGCTTTAGCATGGTTCTCCTAATGGCTGGATGAAAAATACGGTTACAAAGGCTGCTTTTAAAATAAGCAATGAAGAGATCAATGCTGCTAGTTGGGCAGGTTGGGGAAGGTGCCGGGTGAGGCAGATTATGGAAGGCGTGAGCTGGCAGATCAGCAGGCATGGAACAGAGGCCTTGGAATGGTGCCTTGCAGACTTGGGCTGGGGTGAGGAGGAGAGAGCTTATGCTGCTGTGGGGATGGTGAGAGGCAGCTACTAGCAGGGGATGCACAGGTGAGCCTTGAATGAACCTTTGCTGGGCTCCCTTTTCCTTTTTGTCTTCCCTCTCCAAATCACTGCTTACTTTCAGCTCCCCAAACTGGGGCTCAGAAGTGGACAATTGTGAGGAAAGGAGTGGTAACTGA